CTTCTCGGCGGCGCCTCGGAGGCCGCCGTTTGGACATTGATCGAGTCGGGTCGACGCGCCATTCCCTACTCGGCCTTGGGCATGAGAGCTTGGACGGCACCGCCTTTGGCTTGGGCTTTGGCACGGTGCATGGCTCGGTTAGGTCCCTGTTCGACCATGACGAGAAAGGCGAGGAACACGACAAAGGCGAACTGAACCCATTCTTCCACCCATGCGTACGTGACCTGCGACACATGTGCCGCCCTCTGCTTCACCATCGCCGGTCGGTAGCGGGCGCGGAATGAGGTCGGGAAGTAGTCCGTGCCACGTCCGCCTTGCTTCTTCCAGGAAGGACAGTCCAGCAGCTCGAATTCTCCGTCCTCGGGTCCGATGCAGTCGAGATCAAGATTCCCGGCATCTCGTCTGTCCTCGTCGTCGCGCACTGACGGCGAGACGCTCGATACGTCTCGAAGCCATTGGCGCATCGAGTGGCTCGACTCGCGACTTTGTGGCGACAGAGCTAGCTTGCTGCGCGAGTGATCTCCTTCCAACGCCCGTCGGCGCTTTTCATGCATGCGCCGAGGCGTCGGGGCATACATGGCCACGAGTTGGTCTTCTTGCTTCTGGTCGTACTCGTCTGGCGTCCGCCCGTCAGAGAAGCCTCGTTCTCGCAGCAAGTCAAGCCTTCGTCTGCGGAGGAACGACTCGAGGCGGAGTCGATCCTCGACCTGTTCTGACGACTCGATCTCGAGTCGGAAAGGTGCCGCTTCTCGCGTACCTCCGGACTGCTTGGCCTTGCCCTTGTGAGAAGCCTTTGTGGACGAGAAGATCGAAGTGCCGCGCTTGGAACGATCGGCGATGGCCCGGAGGCCGCGACCGTCCGCATGAGATGGGCTCGGGGCCAGCAGACCGAGCTTGACAGCATCGCGCTGGCTAATCGTTCGACCATAGTCGTCGTCGTCCGCCCATGCTACTGCCTCGTTCTCGACGACAGCACTGATCAGATCAAATTGAGCACCTCGGGGCTCATCCTCGTCCTGCAGCCCGCCCGCCTCGATGATCGGCTCATCAGCCAGCCATTCGCCCCGCTCTGCATCTTCGACGCGGGTGAGCAAGGCAGCGTCACGCGGGCGGAGTGGAGACCCGTCCAGAAAGACGTCGTCGATCTGGGCGTGCGCCGGATGCGCTAGGACGCACTCCAGATCATCAGTGTGCTCGCCCATGTTTTCAGGCACAAGTCGGCCAACATTGGCAGTTGGCCGGTCGGATTCGGCCCGTCGCCGCAAGGGAGTCCACAGCTGCAGAGACATCGCATTGTTGGTGGCGAGAACCAGAGCCTGCGGCGCTACAGCTCCCGCATTCTGGGTCGCAGAGACGATTGCGCGGCGATTTTGCGGGAGGTCGTCGTCAAAGTCGTCTCTGCGGTCGTCTCCGCCAAAGATGCTACCAAGCTCACTTCCGAGCGTCCTTCCCCGCTGCGAAGAGGCAGAAGCCGGGCTCTGGGTTGTTCTCTGGCGGCCTCCGAGGTAAGAGTCGGGACTGTGCAGTCGCAAGGATGGGCTATAGGCGGATCGCCCATCGGAAACGAAGGACGAGGACCTCGTCCTAGACCTTCGCACGCGAGCTGTCGGATCAGAAGACCATTGCCGGGAGGGTGAGAGGTAGGCCATCATACCGGCCGTGGGAGATGATGCCGCGGAAGCTTGCCGGCTCGTTCTGGCAGGGCTCCTGTCCCGGCCGCGCTCCTCCAGCGTCTCATCGGCCGATCGATTGGCGTGAGACTGGACTGCATCGGCGGGTCGGAGCGTATCTTGGCGCGGGAAGCTCGCCAAGGTTGGTGTGATGACGTCCTGCCAGTCTTCTGCAGGAGACGAGTCGTGCGCGGGACCGGTGATGATTCGTTCTTGCGTCTTTCGCCTCCTACCCAGATCTTCGATGGAAGGCGTGATGCGAATTCGTGGTCTGCCGGCAGGCCCGAGGCCGAACGAGCTGGCCGAGGACTTTCGATGAAGACCCCTGGACCTAGGCGAGGAAGCTGCACTGCTTTCACCGCTCAGATCGATCGAGTAGGTGCCGAGGGACTGTTCCGTCGAGGAGCGCGACAGTGTAGTGCCGGATGCGAGCGGCTGTTCGCCATTCGAGTTCCAGATATCGGCGGCGAGCTCCTTCTTGGCACGACGAATGGCGGCACGCACAGTCTTGCGATGCTCGATGATGTGGCGGTTGCCAGGAGCCCTCCTTTTCTGGCTGGGCGACAAGGAAGCAACTGGGCTGGACATGTCCGACGACGCCAGCGAGGCAAGGCTACGCTGCGAGCCGGAAGGGGTCATGAATCCGGGCTGGAGTGCGGCCACCTTCGAGGGACTGTGGTGAGTGTGCGAGTCAACGTTCCCAGAAGCTGGGCCCAGCGCTCCAAAGGTGGCATCTCTACCAAAATCTTGACCGACCGTGTTGAAGGCGTCGCGAAGCCTCTCGTCTTCTTCCATTGCACGGCCCACGCGGTTGCCGAAATCGAGTTCAGCTTTGGCCATGGTCGCGTTGGTCTCTTCGAGCTCTTTGATCTTGGCGAGTAGCTGAACCACCAAAGCGCTCTCGCCGGTCGTGCTCTGAGTCGAGCGAACGAGGTCCTCAAGAGTCGAGGTGGAAGGCGCAAGGCCATGTTGATTCGAGACCGCTTCGTCCTTCGCCGCCGGCATCGAGTCGGGAAGCAGCGTTGCCGCAGAGGAAGGTCCATGCCTTCGGTCCAGAAGGAAAATCGGTGACTTTGGCTCTTGGGACAATGATCCACGGTTCGCTGGTGACCGCAGTGGGGTTCGAGAGGAAGCCAAGGGTCGTGTGGATGAGGTGGTGGTCTCGAGCTCGATGTTGCGCTTTGTGGCAGCTTCGAGCTCCGCCTTCAATCCGCGAATCTCCTTGTTGAGTCTGTTGAGCCTCTTGCTGCCATCGAATCGTGCGCTCTCGGCTTCGTGCTGAAGTTCTGCAATCTGCTGATGCAGCACATCGTTCTGTTCGCCAAGAGAGGCGAGCTGTCTCTGTGCTTCAAGTGCCTGTATCTGAACCAGGGACGGCCGGGATCGATGACGGGTATTCGCACGGCCGTTCTTGAACGGTGCACGAGACACACTGTCGACGGGCGAAAGGAAAGCCTGCGAGGCAAAGCTCCGGATGGAAGCGCTCGGAGAGCACGGCTGAGATGGAACGAGTCCCGATTCGTTGGGAACCCAGGTGGAGACAACGGCAGGATTGTAGGGTGCATCCAGCGCCGATCTTTTCGAAGACTGATCTGATCCGTCCGAGGTGGGCCGTGTGAAGTAATCGGAACCGGTGGTGCCAGGGACGACGGGGTGCGCCAGAGGAGTGTTGTCAGGCTCGGATGGTGCTGGTGAAAACGGACCCTGAGACTGGATGTCGATGTCGGTGGTGGGAGGAGAGTACATGGGGCGGGACGAAGGGTACTGTGCAGGTTCATCATCCAGGCCTTGGTCTTCCAGGTTGACGGACGAAGTGGCGTCGGAAGGATCGGCGAAATCTTCGATCATAGCCTCGATATCAGCGAGGCCGAAAAGGCTGGAGCTCGATGCCATGCTGGACATGATGCCGCTGCGCAGCGAAAGGTTCTTCTCCAAGAGGGCCTTGCCAATGTTGGCGGCGACGACGAGCTTCTGTTCGCGCTCGCGGACCTTGCGACTGGCTTCGATCAAGAGCTCTTCGAGCTCGTGGCGTTCCAGAGCGCCGAGCCAGCTAGGATCAAGATCTTGTTGACTGAGCGACGACGGGATGGTGTGTAAAAGCGTGCCGCCATTCTCGTCGATCAAATCATCGCAGCTAGGCTGTCCAGTCGGCATGTAAGGCTTCGTCTGCGACCGTGTCGATGGGTCCGACGAGAGCGATTTGTCGGAAATGTTGACAGTAGGGTCATGGATGCGGTTCAGGACGTCGGAAAAGGGCGAGCGATGCGGCGTGCTGGAGGCATCGTCTGCGACGCACTGTGGTGCCGCGGCGTCTGGTTGCTGGGCCTGATCATGCTGCGAAGGCCGTTGTGAAGAGACTCTCCGGAGGCCTGGCGGTCGTGGCCGTGATGCAGCTTGTGATAGCATGTTGCCTTTGTCCTCTAAAGAGGGACGAAACTGACGGTGTCAGCGAGGATGGTTAGGATAAGAGTCGAGGGTAGCGTGGCATGGGGTCGAGTGGCTGCAGATGCTACGCTTAATGCTAAGATAGTAGGTCTCGCCTCGTTTTGCGCGAACGACGCTTCTTTGGCCTCAACACTTGAGGCGGTTGTGATGCGACAACGACGACTTGGAGCGCCTCGGTGTCGGGAGTGGCTGGAGCAAGGGTGATGTAGGCTTAGGCGGATGGAAACGAGTCAAGCGGTGGAGGATGAAGATTGTTGTTGGTGTCGAGGATGGGAAGGGCATTCAAGCGTCAAAGAGGCAAAGGATCGCGAAGCGGTGACCGCAGCAGACAGGCAGAGCAAGGAGCGTGATAGAGCGCGGAGGCTCCAGAGGCCGGGGCTTGCAAGCTGCTTTTGCTGCTGCTGCTGCTTCGGCTGCATGCGACGGCGGATCCAGGGGCGATCAGGGTCCAGCACCGCTGAAGCCACCTCCGCTGACCCCTTCGCTTTCGACGCTCGCCAAGTTGCGTCTCAGGTGGGTTGCTTTCATGGGACATCCGAAAAAAGGGGGATTAAGCAACACGCTTCCCACCCGGTGGCGCTCTCTGCCAAATTCCCACTTTTTCAAAGAAGCACACGAGCAGCAGCAGCAGCAGCAGCAGCAGC